GTCTTGTGCTCATAACCTCTTTCCTCTTTCTTGTGGGCCCACCCGGCCAGCTGTAGACAAATTGAGCCGACTCTTCTCCTCTCCCTGCTTCCTGCACAGGCTGCCAGTTATGCTGGTATTTGCAGTGACCACGTAAATGAGACGCTGAGAGATGAAGCTTGATAGGCTTATTTTCAGCACATAGAGATGCAGATGGCGGTGTGTTGAACGGGGTCCTCGTGCATCGTGGCCTTGATAGCAAGGGGTGAAAGAATCGCCCTCTATGACACATGTATGAGAGGCCGAGGCCCTCTGATTCCCTCGTTCCTACTTCTAGTCTCAGTTTTCTTGTCTTGCTTTTTTTTTTGTAATGTAAAGCTAGACATGGTGAGCGTACTGGAAGCTAACACACACATTTCATAATCTCTAAAGGCTGACAGGAGGCACCTGGTAGAGCCCTGGCGGGATTAGAGAGTTTTAGGAGTTTGTTACAGTGAGGAACACATGTTCAGGTCACTGTCTCTGACAGCACTGCTCCAAACAATGTTCCTCCTATTATACTTCCCTCTTCGCTTTTCTTTCTCTTTCCTTCCATCCACAACCCCCTCTTTCTCTCCCTCATATTTCAATGTGTATGTGTGTCCGCGTGTGTGTTTGTGTGTGTGTGTTTGTGTGTGTGTGTAGGCCTGTGTGCTCAAACTAAATATGTTTAAAGGGGTGAGGAGGGGGGCACAAAATCCTTGGAGAGGACTTGGCAGTCGCTTTTCTCCCTCTCGCTCCATTGCTTCGGTCCTTCCAAAATCCTATTTCACGGTGCCAAGCATCCGTTCCCTGGGATCTCACAGCTCCCATCTCCAGACGCAGGTTTAAGCCCCTCTCTTGGCACCCGGACTGGGCATGGAGAGAAGGCATGTGAAGCACATCATCACCGCCAGTAACGCAAACACACCTATTATCTTTGCTCAGGGAGGGACCCAGGCCCTGCCGTGTGCACACAGAGATCACTCTTGCAACCTTAGACTCCCGAACCGCGATAACACACTGACCTCTGACATGAGGCAAGAGGGCACAGCAAACCCATCAGCTGGTTCACTCATTCATCCACTAAATCATTCAGGCTCTCGCTCACAAACCAAATACACTCAAAAACTCATTCAGTCAAGCAGCAACAAATCAGTCTAATGTGGCTGCCACTGTTCAAGCTCGATGAAGAAATAAACAGAAGACAAAAGACCGCAGACTTAATAGCCACCTTCTGTTAATTTACTTCCCCACGGTACAGGCTAAACTTTAACAGCCCTCCAATTACAGCAAATCAAAGGAATTAATTAGTGACCAAATTACCTGAATCTACACCAACTGAGCCAGGGGACGGACCAAAGCACATTGCATATCTGAAAACGTTTTCTGTGTTTCTGCACGGTCACCACCAGATGGCCCCATATACCTTCATTTACATCCACAGAGTGCTCTCTTGATCAACTCAAACTCTGATTTAACACCCTCAGTCAATCTGTGATAGAGCTTTGATTCGCAATCCGAGCCTTTAATCTAATTACATAATCAGCTTTCTATTGATAATCGGGATTTAAACCTGTGCTACGTTCACTTCGACTCCAATAAGGTTTAAAAAGGTTGCGGGAAACATAAAAAAGTGAGAAACGACCATTAATGATGAACACTTTTTCTGTAACATCAGTTTTATTTGTATTTGAGAAAAGGATACTGATTTTAACCAAGTACAAGCAAATAGAATATCCACTGACCTACAAAGCCTCAAGACACAGCTGTGCGTTCATAATAGATGCAGGTTTTTCACTATGTCATGCTCCATATTCTCAATTATTCAAAGTCAGGAAGTCAATATGAGGATAATTCAAGTCTACAGCATAATAGGATCTGGTGTTTGTGCTGACAACAGTGGAGTGTCAGCTTCTTAGGGCAACAGGAGCTGTGATGATGAGAAAAAGAAAACAGAAAAACTGCCACTGAAAATCACTCACTGAAATCCTTCAGCAGGTTTTAACAAGTTAGCATGTGGGAAGTGATGAATTATCCTAGCATTTCCTTTTACAGTGTTCAAATAGGTAAAAACCTCGGAACAGTTCCTCAAAACCATGCCATGTTGAGTCAGCACAAAAGTTTCACAAAAAATATAAACTGCTTTAGTCCAAGAAAGGCATACAAACCAAATGAAAATGTTTCAAAATAATTTATTCCCAATATATGACAGTGTTTGAATTAATTAACCAGACTTGGAAGTCTTCCCATCCCATCTACTCTTCCAAAAGGGTAGATGGGATGGGAGGTGTTAGGCAAGCATTCCTCCAAATTGGTTTCAGAGCCTTTCTTGGAACTTAAGAAATTCAGAGAAACTAGGTGATTTGTGGAGATCCGGCCAGGATAAATACGATTCTATGATGAGGGAAAACCGATGAGTGGACAGGGAACCTACTTCAGAGCAGACAATTCCACATCTACACCAGACTCACTACTGTACACACACTATTCATACAAAAGGAGAATGTGACTCCAGATGTCCTGAAGCCATACAACACTACAGTAACACACATGCATCAAGGCAAGAAGGATGATCTCATTACTTTTTATGGGGAATGTCTTTATGATTATTTCAGAAATTTGTGGCTAACATATGACTTGCAAACTAATGTATTGTGGACTTTTGAATGAGAAATCATTACAATTCCATTTAAAATTATTCGTAATGCTTTGGCCATGGCAAATATGTCCACATGTCTAGATTATAAATTTGGCCATGCTCAGGCGCGACAGCTGCCCTTGGATAGTAACCCACTGCCCCATATGTACAGTAATTCACTAACGCCCACACAGAAGACAGAAGCAAGGAATGAACAATGACCCAATTTCTCCACTCAGATGGAATCAAAATAGTCAGTGAGCTGCATAATAGTCTGAGGAACAGCAGTGGAAACATCAGTCTAAGCTGCAAAGGGAGCTGCAGTTTTGTCCCAGTTTGTTTGGAAATCAAGGCCAGCGGGCAGCAGAGAAAGAAAACAGATTAGCCCATCGGCAGGACAATTTGTTTCTAAAATGTGGAGTAAGAAAATGCACAGACTAGATGCTTAATTTGAAGAAGTATCTACCTACTTCTTACTCACCACTTTGCAAAAAGTATTAAATCTGTTTTTTTTTTTATTACCACCATATCGTTTGTTGCCATTTCCACAACATTACAATATCATTAAAACACTCATATGATTCTCACAATGGATCATAAAAACGCTGTGATGTGTCTAGTGGGGGAGACTCATAATTAGACACTAAATGCCCCCAGGGTATTGAAGAAGAGAAACAGCCACATCAAGCATTAACAGGTCTGAGCTGAAAGTGCTGGATCTTCATGCATTATTAATAGCACCTGTGCTAATTGAAAGCCCTAAATCTGCACATGAAACGTCTGAGGCCAACTTGCTGCCCAGCTGTCAGAGGATCACCCCAGATATAGATGCAGCTAATTTTAGATTCTCTTTTGATCAAAAAAGCATTTAGAGTTTTATACATTACATTGTATGACAACTGATAGGGTAATGCAGGACCAGTCTATGGGGCCGCACTTAGTGCTTCATGCATTACTCAGAGAGCGCGAGCATTTCCATCAGTTTTTATTTTATCTGATGCACCAGCGTCCCTCTGGTGCATGATGCCAACTCGGAATCATTCAAGCTGGACTCCTGCCTCATTTTAACGTGTGCATTTTATTCAGCTTTTATTTGTGTTTTGTGTTTGCAGATGACGACATGCTTCTTCTCATGATGTCAAAATAATATATAATCAAAACTGAATATTTTAATGACATGAGTGGGAAAAGTCCCTTATAGATCATGGCCAATGTTTATACAAATGGAGAACAGATCAATCCAACATGAAGAAATAAAATCTGTGGATCGTTCTCGATTAATAGAATAGAAATCCAGTTGAAAACAACTTATAACAAAATACAGGAGACTTGATTATTGAATATTTGTATTAATTATTAAACAAGTAGGTTTATTATCAAACATTGTTGATTGATTATCATACTTTAATTTATATTTACATTCACTTATTAAGATTTTTCTAGAGCTGCAACAGGTTATAATTCATATAATGTATTTTTCGTGAAAACTTCTCACATAATACAAATCAAATGTCTTAAAGGATAGTGGAGGTATAATGTATTACAACCAAGTATTGCCAAATGTTGTTGCTTCGAAGTTAGGATTGTGTCATAGGAATATTGCACATGTTGATGAATATTAGAGTGATGTCTGAAGATGGTGTGTGTGTTTGCTTAAGAATGTGTGTCTGTGTGTTTGGCAAGGCTCTGTTGTGGAAACAGGCAGCTGGTATTCAGGGCATGTGACATGTCTCCGCCTAAATATACTAAGAGGTTAAATGTGCTGTTGGTCACATCATTACATCAAAGGCCTGAGACCTTTTTATGCACTGGTCAAAGTGGTGACAAATGTTTCAGAACAGCATTTTAACTATTGGATTGTCCCTGGAATTATTACATTTGCTTGACTTTTGCTGAAAACGATCTGACAAACAACATATAAATGCTACAGTGGTGGTTGAAATGTTTATAAAGCCTTTTAATTGCATTCATATTTCACACCTGATATGAAGACATAAACTGTTCATAAAGATTCCTCGCTGACAAGCATGGAGTGGGCCACTTATCTTAAATACAGGGAAGTTCCCCAATTAAATCAACTGACTTTTTCTGTGCAAGCTTTTGAATCTTTGTCTTAAAATCTGTACACGTTTCACATTTTGTTCACATTTTTTAAAATTGAGATAGATAGATAGATAGATAGATAGATAG